AGAGAGAGAGAGAGAGAGAGAGAGAGAGAGAGAGAGAGAGAGAGAGAGTCGTGGAGGAGGGAGGAGTTGTGGATGACGCAGGAGACGCAAAGGAGGGAGGACGACGGCGGCTTAGAGGAGGGAGGATCTTGGAGACGAAGTGGACGTGCAAAAGGACAAGGCAGAGAGGAGGTCAGCCATCACAAGGATCATGAAAGTGAGATGTGATGTTAGCAGGTTAAGAGGGACCATAACAAACGAGGAGATGTGGAGGAGGGAGAGAATGAGGGATGTTGAAATCATAAAGCTCGAGGGGGTGGTTCATGGTGCTGACAGAGGACAAGACAGTTCCCGGAAGGGGACGAGCTTGCCCAAGATGATGACACGCCTGCTCCCATTGCCACCTGTGCTGGTCCTTCAAAACTGTGGCAGACAAAAATCATCGATAGCGCAGCGGTGGTGACGGCGAACGAGGAAGTCCAATGCTCCATAAACGATTGGATGACAGAAGAATGCATCCCGTTCAACATGATGCGGAGCCGGTATTGGGACAGGATGGTTCAAAAGTTGAAGAATGCACCTCCCTCGTTCCAATATGCCAAGTACGACAAAGCAAGGACTGAAAGAGTTGACGCCACACGAAAGAGGGTATCCGTGCAGGTTGACCAGCGGAAGCAAGAGTGGCCCACCACCGACTGTATGCTTCAACTTCATGGTGGACTGATCGGCGGTCAAGATCACACTTGAATGTCATGGTCTCGTTCCCGAAAGGCGCCATTTTCTGGTGCAGTGTGTGTATGCAGTGGCGTGATAAAGGCGCAACATCGTACTTTGCTATTCTATCGAGGTCTATCCGCGAGGTGGGGGAGGACACAGTGGTAGGGTTGTTATGGACAATGCGGCTGTCTGCGCAGCTGCTGGCCGGATGGTAGAGTCAGAGTTCGGACATATTTTTTCCGTGCCATGCACTGTTGGAGGTGTTTGGGAAGATCGATTGGGTGGATGTGCTGCTTAAGAAAGCGGTAGAAGTCACAAAGTTCTTCATGAACCACGCAAAACTGCGTGACTTGCTGCTGGTGTACTCCGGAGGAGATGTTCTTGTAAGGCCGTGTGCAACCCGGTTTGCTACGAACTTCATCATGTTGGAGAGTCTCCAGAAATTGTACCTACTGCTACGGTCGTGCATCACGGATGACGATTGGAAGGAGGCCATTGTCCTCCCCTCACAACGCCGGTTCTTTCACACTTCGATGAACGAGGTGCTCGATAACGGGTTCTGGGCTGGTGTGCCAAAGGTGAAGGAGACAACGAACGATTTGCTGCACTTGTTGAAGTTTACAGATGCTGCAGGGCCTAGGATCAACAAAGTGTATGGTCGGATGGACAAGGTAGTGGAGAATTTGAGGAAGAATGAATTCCTCTCGGAGACGGAGAAAGATGAACTGGAGGAAATCATGATGCGCAAGTGGAACATGATGACATCTCCACTTCATTGTGCAGCAATGTTTCTGGACCTGGAGTTCCGAACTGCAAGATTGGACAAGGATGTGGAGGTGGTGGATGGATTCAGGATGTGGTTGTACTCATGGGCAAAGCCAATGTCATACAAGGTGTTGGACGAGGAGGTGAACAACTGGATTGAGGGAACAAGGAAGTTTAACTCCGAGGAGGCGGTTGCAAGTGCACGTGGTGCCCAGCCTGCGAGGTGGTGGAGGAGATGGTGCGTTGAGATACCCATCCTGCAGAGGCAAGCAATTTGTTTGTTGGGACAAGGGACCTCTGCATCCAGTTGTGAGAGGAACTGGAGCCTCTTCGAGAGGATACACTTCAGACCACGCAACAAGTTGGGTGCTGGCCAGCTAAGCAAGCTCGTGTACAATAGATGAAACCAGTTTCTCTTGGACAACTTGGAGGGCGAGTCCAACGGAGATGACGACGAGCTTGCATGGGGGGAGGAGAGAAAGCTCACAAGAAAAGAATTGTGCAAAGAGGCAAAGGCCCGAGTGGAGGAGTGGAGAGCCAGGTTACATCACGACTTGGAGGAGGAGGAGTCAGATGATGATGACACTGACGATGGCAGTGATACGGACTGTGGGAGCGATGATGGCAATGATGCTAATGATGAAGGGCGGCACCGTGGACACATGTCACAGCAGCGAGCTTTGTCGAACTTGTTGGAGCTCGAAAGGGCCATCAATGTGGAGCAGCAGTCTTGGGGGAAGTGCACACGACCCCCCAAGTATCTAGCTCACCTTCATCTGGCCAAGTCTCAGCGTGGTGCGAAGAACATCACAGTCGACCATGCTGAGAAGTACGTGGATGGTTTTAGCTCACCTTCAGTTTATTGCATCAAATAGCAGAAATAGCTTTGATGACGGACTGTTCCCAGAAAATAACTTAGATTTGGTAAGACTGAAATCGTGGACGGTTTTGGAATACTAACCTTAAGCGATGAAATCGATACAGCCATGGTGAACTGGCTCAAGGCCAGAACAGTGATAGTTGCCTATGACGAACCCGCTATGTCAATAAGCATGGCTCAAAGAGAGCAGCTCATCCGTGTCTATGAGGACACTTGGTACCTTGACCTAACAGTCAACCCCTCCCAGAAACGTCGAAGAACTCATGGGGAAGGACCTAATGTCATGTCCTACGTCGCTAGGACAGAGAGAATTGCAGAATGGTTGGTGATGAAAGGTGAGGATAGAATCCCCACACGCTCCGGATCGATTAAGGTACTGTTCAAACCATGGATGACTAAGCAGGAGCTAGACACCATCGAGAGAATGAACTGGCAGGAAAATTTAGGATTATCGCTCTCAGGGTTCCCTTGGAAGCACTCTTCCCCCTCAGGTATGCGGTCGAAAAGTTTATGGGCAAAATCCTGATTATGCACCCACCGGAGAAACGATCAGAGGAACCTAGATTAGGGAATGTCCGTATCGATTGTCCCGGAGGTGAGAGACAGATTCTTGGAATGGGTAGTGGTCAGGAAGTCAAGTGGAGGGTTTTTTGAAAGTTCAGTTTGCAAATCAGGATTCACCATTTTATAATAAATGTGTATGGTGGTTTCATGACGAATTCAATCCCGATTGTCTGAGGTTCAATCAACCAATGACAGAAGGGAGGAGTGGAGAAGGCCTTGGGAGAGGGGGCAGAGGCAGAGGCAGGGGAGGCTTTATGGGTAGAGTTGAACCAATCATAAATGAAATGGGGAATCCAGGAGAAGGACGAGGTAACGCAGGCAGAGGAGGGTCGGGGGAAGGAGGAGATGGTTGAGCTTTTGGATGAGGCGGCGGCGAAGAGGGAAGAGGTAGAAGTGGCGGTCAGGGAGGAGGGGGAAGAAGAAGAAGGAGGAGGAGGAGGAGGAGGAGGAGGAGAAGGAGAAGGAGGAGGAGGAGAAGAAGAAGAAGAAGAAGAAGAAGAAGAAGAAGAAGAAGAAGAAGAAGAAGAAGAAGAAGAAGAAGAAGAAGGAGGAGGAGGAGGAGTGAAGGTGGAGGTGGAGGTGGAGAATGAGAAGGAGAAGGAGAAGGAGGGGAGGTGGAGGTGGAGGTGGAGAATGAGAAGGAGAAGGAGAAGGAGAAGGAAGAAGAAGAAGAAGAAGAAGAAGAAGAAGAAGAAGGCGACGAAAAAGGCGACGAAGAAGAAGGAGAAGAAGACGGAGAAGAAGGCGACGAAGACAACAAAGAAGGCGACGAAGAAGAAGAAGGCGGGGGAGAAGAAGAAGAAGAAGAAGAAGAAGAAGAAGAAGAAGAAGAAGAAGAAGAAGAAGAAGAAGAAGAAGGCGACGAAGAAGAAGAAGAAGAAGAAGAAGAAGAAGAAGA